TAAAGGCGAGCGGAGAGGATGGAGGGGAGAAAAAAAAACAGGGAGGAAACAGCTTTTCCGGCTGCCCCCACACTGAGGCATTTCTTCCAGAGGGGTCCTGGTGGCTTTGGGAGGCTCAGCTAACCAAACTGGAAAGCAAAGCTGCCTTCGTTGTCCAAAAAGCTTAATGAAATCCTGCAAATAAAAATATAAAAAAAAGCCTAACTGCCCGAAAATAGACAGCTTCTCGAATGAAAGGGACAGCGCGATGTTTGGCAGCTGCCATGGCCCTCGCTCCAGTTTCCTTGGACTTTTTAGGCAGTTTCTCTTGCAGCTAGTGCCCTCTCGTGGAAACCTCTCATCTGCTCCATTTTTCCTGTTTTTCTTTCCCCAAAATGAAGTGATTGCCACACAGAGAGAAGGAGCATGCACAGAGGCTGCAGTTCTGCCCAGGCCCAGCACAGCCAGTGGTGCCAGGGACTGGTTCGTGCCTTCCTACCCATCACCGGAAAGGAGGATCACGTTGGGGTGGAGGATTGCAACCCCATGACATCCCACCATGAGATGAAGCCTTTCCAAATCAATGTGCTCCATGGTGGCAATCCAGGATGGTCTGACCCCAACCCCGCCGGTGCTAAGGGAAGGTCTCCCGCTGGCACCATCACAAGCTGCTGCCTGCTTTGCTCCCCCTCCTCACCTCCTGAAAAGCATGAGATAATTGGGAATGGGAGCAAAAGGTGAGGACAACGTTCCTCTCAGATGTCCAAATGTCAAAGCGATGCCAGCACGGAGCTGGGGGCAACAAAGAGCCAGCGGGATCGATGTGGCTGGCGGGGAACAGGAGCAGGATGTGAGATCAGCCACTGGGAAGAGCGATGCCTGAGCTGGCGGAGCAGCAGTGCCATCGCCTGGAGCTCCCCGCCAAGATGCTCTCCTCTGGGTAAATCCCAAAGCAAACACAAACACATGTTATTTTTATTTATCCGTAGCTGAGACCTCTCCCAGACCACGGAGACTCCCCAGCAAAGGGGCCAGGCTTTACACCAGCCTTCCCTTATGCCAAATCATCGAGAGGCTGAGCATCCCTATTCTTTCCTTTTTTCAACCCAAAAGCATGGGGGACACGGCCAGACAGCCTTCATGTCAGC